GGGGCTTCTGTAAGTTGGTCTTCTCTTTGTTTTTCCAATGTGCTGGAGGAGCTCCTGGAATTGAACTGCGGTCAAGGGTGCTGTAGTCATGGTGGAGGATCAGATGGTGGATGACTGGATCAGATTCAAAGAAGGCTTGTCTGAAACCTTGTGACTGAACAAGGATTCTGGCGCTGGTGCTGGAGTTGAAGCTGAAGATGAAGATGCTGAAGAAGAGGAAGCGTCGTCAAGTCCATCAAGTGAGAATCAACAAAAGAGGAGCAATGGCTATGGCAATGGCAACAGCGGAACAACAGGAGGAGCGGCAACAAGAGGAGTGGCGACAAGAGTAGCGCGTGGATATCCAGTCAATCGAGTCAATTGAAGTTGGAATTTATGAGCTGGATATTGGTTGTTCGAGAGCGAGTCCACGAGCGAATCGAAGCTGTTTGAATTCAAACGACCAACTGAATTCGAACCACTAGATGCAAGCCAGCAACAGTTCGAACGACCGATGCCAGTCCTAGGTAGCAAACAGAGCAAGCAGAGACCAATGACAACTGCTGATCGATCGCTCGTGTTGTTGTTGTTCGCGCTGTTATCTGCCGATCGATCGTACGTGTTGTTGTTCTCGTTCTCGTATGTTTTCGAATTGAAAAAGTGAGGAGTTTGCGAAGATATAAGGCACGCATGACTCAGGCAATTCAAACCGATAATATCCGGCAATAAAGCATGACTCAATGCATGACACACAAGCCGAGCCTTATATATGCAGTCAAGCCTCATTTTTCCCTGAATTCTGTTAACTCGGCCGATCGATCCTCGATCCGTGCTGAAGATGAGCATGGAATGAGGAGTGATGTTCGTGGTGATGATGGGATCGCCATCGGCCAAGGCTCTACCGGTGATAGAGATAGCACTAGCAGTAGCAGTAGCTCCTGTGATCGAGATAATAGGATCCTCATTGAGATTACGATCGTCAATAGGATTAAGAAAGGTGGACTCCCATAGGAGTCCATCGTATATAGGATCCTCATCGCAATTTCGATTGACGACAGGATGGTCCACATTGAGATTACGATCGTCAATAGGAGTAAGAACAAGGGGATTGCTTTCGAGCGAATCCAAGGGAAGTAAGTTGTAAAAGGGGGAAGGACTACTGATGGAGATTGGGCTCTGCACCAGGGGATATCTCATTCCATTGACAATAACCATAAGGGATAGACGTATAAGAATAAGAATGAGTAACATCTCATAACCTCGCATGCTACCATGCGACAATACCATTGTGCATTGATTAATCTAAGGATCTAAGAGATGTAAAGTTTGTATTTCCAAATAAGTGAGCAGTTATTGATTATTTTCTAGAATAAGCCTGCAAATAGTAAAGCTGTAAAGCTGAATTGTAAGCTGTATCCCGTCGCAATTACAACACCAGCAAGACCATGAGATTCCAAGGAAGAGGTGGTCGTGGTGGAGGAAGATACCCTTCAAGGGGGGGTAGGGGATTCAATTCCTCAGCTAGGAAGAAGCCATCAAGGAAGAGGCAACAGCTACAGGAACCAGAACAAGAGTTCCAAGCGCCAGTTCCTGTTCCATCCAAATGGACAGGCAGACAGCAGGTATTATCCTTTTGAAGAAACTCTGACCCACATTGTTCAGAATCTAAGGATCAAACCTGAATGGAATGATGTGCCTCTGGCATCATTGGCCATTGAAACAATGACAAGTCAGGCACCAACCAAGCCGACCAAGCCGACAGCCAAGTCAACATCTGCGGATCCCAATATCCTAGAGTACGATGCCTTGGAACTCAGCGAGTACAAGTCAGAAGCATCCATCTATGACAAGTCCACTCGCTACTATGAGAACATCCTCAAGACTGGTGCAACTACCATTCAGATGACATACTGTACCGAATCCATGAAGTCCAAGTTGAGAGGGCTAGGAGACTATGAGGATGCAGTCAAGCTTGATCCCATTGTGATGCTCAAGACGATCTGTCTGATAGTGATGCAAGGCTCTACCAAAGAGTTCCCATTACTACAATTCATCAAGACCATCCAACGTGGTTTGTTCCCGAAGCAAGGTGACCATGACAGACTTGACTACTACTTGAGGAAGGTCGACAGCGACGTGGATCAAGTCTATGACCTAGTAGGAACGGCGTTCATTGATGTCAGAACTCTGAACACAGACGACTACAAGAGCGCGTCTGGTCAGGACGCCAAAGACAAGGTGCTACTGACGGAATGAGCCAGATTGAAGGCAACAATGGGTTACCATGGACTCCAGGAAGGAAGATACGGAGACTACCAGAAGACCGTTGAGGCAGCGTATGCCATGGATGGCACCATCCAGTTCCCTGCTACCCTGGATCATCTCAGAGAGACACTGTTCAATGACAGATTCAAGGCCAGCAAGAAATGGTTGGATCAGAAGAAAGCCAGGGAACGAAAGCCAACTTTCAATCCTAAGCCACCTCCTTTCGATCACAAGAAGATGAAAGAGGGACTTCCAGTGTTGGAAGGTGTTATTTTGTGAGGGCAGGGGCGATGACCTCGTGAGACTCCTGGGTGGAAACAATGGACCGGGGGTTATTCTGGATAACCCCCCAACTGTCTAATTACCAAGTCAATCGAGCCTGCCTTACTGCTATATCAATAACTCGCACCCTAGATCTCATGGGAGTTCGCATCGTTTGGTACGACTCTAAGTCTTTGACCGGTTAGTGGACACGATCCCAGACTGGGTGGACTTAAGGGTTGGTCATAAAATCTTGCGATCCTGTATTGGAACATGCTGGAACATCTTGCCAGGTTGTTAGCTTTGCGATCCTGAATTGGAACACGCTGGAACATCTTGCCAGGTTGTCACCAGTTAGCGTATCCTGGCAGTCGGGTTGATTTCAATTTGGTGCTGGCACACATTTTTACTGAATGATGCTTGTGGGAAAATCGAAACCATGGACGCTAGATGTGTTCAATGCGCCTACATACAACCACCGCCTATTTGGGGCGAGGACGAACTGCCAGCCTACTACAAACTCAATGGAGGACTCTATTGCCCGGATTGTTTTCACTCGGAGAAGGCTAAGGCGGTTGCCGAAGAGCATACTCTTGCCAAGGAAGAAGCTAAGAAGAGATGGTTGACTGCCTGGCTTGGATCAAAGGATGTGCCCATTGCCATTGATTAAATCCTCGACGTGCTGAATGGATTTAAGGGATGCACGGATGGGAGATTTGATCTTTATTAATTTTATTATATTAAATTTGAAACAAATTATTAATTCCTTCTTCGATTAGGGTGGAGTTTGCGGATAACGCCAGCCCTAATCTATCGCCGATCCGGTTCAAGGTGTGTTTCAAGTTTTTGTATTGCAATAATTCTAGTTCGACACTAGACATCGCGATTAGAAGACAGCCATCAATCGATGTGGATTGATCGAGTTCTTCGTCGTCTTCGATTACCTGGAGCGTTCCTCAATCGTGCATGACCTTTAAATCCGACCCTAATTTTAGGGTCGGTTTGGGGAAACCCGTCCCTAAATCCGACTCAATTAGGGTCGGTTTCGAAACCCGACCCTAAATCGAAACCCGTTCAGAAACCGTCACTATTTTTCAGAAACAGTCCCTATTTTTAGGGTCAGTTTTCAAACCCGACCCTAATATTGGTGCGTTTTCAATGTATTTACCATTCAGTCCCGTTTCTATTTAGGGACGTTTTTCAAACCCGACCCTAAATCGAAACCCGTCCCTAAATTAGGGACGTTTTTTCAGAAACCGTCCCTATTTTTCAGAAACCGTCCCTATTTTTAGGGTCGGTTTTCAAACCCGACCCTAAAGGGAACCCGTCCCTAAATCCGTCCCAAAATTAGGGTCGGTTTTTGTTATTAAGGCATGCACGATTGAGGAACGCTCCTGGATCGTGCAATCAGGAGGTAACCAGTTTGAGGTGTTTACTTCTTCATTAGGATCAATCACACAAACAAGTTGCAGCATCCTTTGTCCGAATGTTAAGAACGCTTCAGTCACGAATGGTCGCTTCATGAACTTTGTCATTGTCAGATAGTCATTCAAGGAGCAATTGGTGCAAGTAATCACAATCATTTTTTATCTAGGAATAGAATGCAAAGCATCGAAGCAATTTTAAGTGGTCTAGAGGAGGAGGGGACAATGGCGACACCCAAGCTTATTCAGCATGTAGTAAAGAAAAAAGGAGAAGCGGAGGACGAGCAGTCGGAGGAGTCAAATAAGTCGTCGGAACAGGAGTCAAACTTGACGGGACAAGAGTCGAGTCAGGGGTCAAATAAGTCAAGAGAAAAAGTCGGTAGAGCAAAGACCAAGGAAGATATTGAAACGGGAGTCAAACAAACCCAGACAGGAGTCAAACAAACCGAGACAGGAGTCAGAGGAGTCGTTGGAAGAAATGAGGGGGAGGTTAATGGCTTTTTACGGTGTTCCTATTGCTCTAAGGAGGAAGGGGGAGGTTAGATATAGGTGCCCTTACTGCAACCAAATGCATTTTGCATTGCATCCTGGCTATACTGAGGCTGATTGTGCAGATAACGTGAGATCGGATCCTGAAGCTGCTGTTCTTATTATGGGACGGTCGTTCGTGCCCAACTATGGCGTAACGGTCATCGAATATGAGGTTCGAGATGGAGTGAATTGCATTTTAGATTGAGGTGGTTTCGGTAATAGGTGTATGGGACATCCAGTTAGATCGACTACAGGCATATTCTTGAAATCTTTACGATTCGTCCTACAATACCATAGAAACTTCGATGAGTCTTCCCATTTCATGATTCGAATAACATGAGTCAATCTAGACTACTATCGACTACTGGACTAGGGTTAACAGGTACTAAACTATCGACTAGACTAGGGTTAACAGGTGCTAACTAAACTATCGACTAGACTAGGGTTAACAGGTACTAAACGTTAACAGGTACTAACTAAACTATCGACTAATAGACTAAACTATAGACTAGACTAAACTATCGACTAATAGCTTGGTTGACTTAGTTTGTAGCGGCCATCATTCCTTTGAAAACCTTGGATTGTTAAGGGTAGGGTGGTACCGCTCACTCGCCGCAGAGGCTTAGGGGGAACTGGTCGTTAAATCTTTTTTTCTGATGACGCACCCTTAAGGGGAACTAAAACTTAAGGGCGGTCCACTCTTAAAAAGTACTATAGAAAAAAAGAGTACCCTGAAAGGATGGACCGGGTCGGCTGGCGTGCGGTCCACCTTTTCATCCTTTTTTCTATAGTAAAACAGTACAAGGGAATGAATGGACCAGAGGGGGTAATAATAGTATCAGGGCATCGATAACCTTAACCTCTAATTTCATTAGGGTTTAAGGTTATCATAACCTTCACGCGCTTCGCTAGACCCCCCTCTGGTCCAATCATCCCTCCATGTCATTCATGTTAATGCAATGGATCCGGTACATCTTAGTGACAATTTCAACCACGTACTCCTTCTTGACCTTGCAATCCTTCTTACTCAAAGCGCGAAAGCTCTTCACTTTTGTGGGAATCCTGTAGCACATCTTTTCATCATTATCATGGAGGTGCCAGTGGATTAACTCACTCTTGTACGTTGCTTCATCACCTTTCATTTGATTCCTCATCAGTGTTGTTTCTTCGATTACCTTTGAGGTGGTTAGAGTTACATCGACAAAAGACGGCATTCTACCTTTCCTTAATCCATCCACAATTGCATTGAATAACATGAGTGTCGTATATTTCAAGTCTTGGTAGTGACGTTTCGCAAGGGATGTGTTAGGTTCATGGAATTCATTTACAAGTCGATGGATGTACCGGAAGCTCATCTTAAAAAATGAACAGAAGGAAGAAGTGCGGGATTAGGCTGATTTAATTTAAGTTTCTAAGGCTTAAGATTCAAAACTCGTCCATCATTTTTTCTATTAACTTCCTCCGCTCCAACCAGCGCTGCATTTTGGCATCAACCCTTTTACAAAGCTCCTTGTCACGAGGGAAGTGAACGGCAGGTTTGACACCCTGAGGCATTGCGTCGGTTTTGCGAGGGAGAGGGAGGCGAATTTATGAAGAGGACGACTGATCCTAAATTCAGCGCCTAAATTCAGCGCGCGGAGTAGCACACGGAACATGATTTGAGCGCGAAGTTTGAATTTTTGAAAGAGGGCACGCACTCAGGATTGAATGACTTCCGCGGGAAAAAAAGAACAGAAGCGTCGGCGATAGAGTGTCTCTAGTAGTTTCTTAAAACTAAAAAACCAAAATGCGTCATAGCTGCGGTTGTGTTTGTTGTTGCTCCAAGATATAGGGATGCACAAGGGCGCTCAATGCCTCCGTTTGACTTAGTCCTCCTCCTCTTCGCTGTCATCATCCGTATCTCCTTCGTATGGAGCAGGAAGTTCATGATCCCAATCAGTAACATGGACTCCAATGTTTGTTTCAACGTCGTTAACAGCCGCCTTGATGTCACCAGGAATCACTCCACCACCCCAAGGAAGACCGAATGCGCGCACAAGAGCCAACCAACGACGGTACTTGGGGACTCTTGCATTACCGGCATTCCCATCATCATTGATTTCCGCGATCACATCCTTGATAGTCGTGACACCGGCGTTCCAAACAAACCACAACGCAAAACTAGCGAAAACGTGGTGATGGATGTAATGTCCACTCATGTAGGTGTATTCGTAAGCAGCATCAACGGTGACCGCCAGCTGCATGAGGATGAAGAAATGTAGAAGAGTAAACATTGCAAAGGAACAAAGGAAACTGACGAAGGTTGTTTGTTGGCTCTTGTTGTCGAATTGTGGTGGGATTTTTTTCCGTGCACTTACGGGGGTCACCGTGAAAACGCCACGATGGGAATCCACGGTGGGAATCAATCAATCGGGGTTACTCACAGGCGAATCATCGCCAGCCAACGACCGAAATGCACGATTGACTTTAAATTTAAATTTTTTAAATAGTGTCAAGCGTGAACCGAACGAAACGAAACGAAACGAAACGAAACGAAACGACCGTGAGAGCGTGAAATAGCTAGCTTGAAAGGCCACGAAATTGTAGAGTTGTAAAAGGGAACCAGCTAGCTAGAACAGAGCACAAATCGGCTAGCTAGACAACCTACAAGCTAGAGTCTCAACCTGCAACCATGGCTCGAGTCAACTTTCGCGGTATCGACTTGCATGAAGACCTTGAGTTTGGACTGAATCAAGTGATCGCTTTGGATCTTGAAGGGGCGGAGGGCATGAAGTTTCATCTCTACAGTGATATTTTTTTGCATATCGAGTGGGAGAACGTAGAGGGCGCAGTCTTTCGAGAGTACATCAAGGAATTTGACACTAAGGCACTATGTAATGAATTCATGGCAGCTTTGCGGACTTTGTCTGGGCTTCCTACCAAGGTTGTCTGTGAGTATGAGTCGGCACAGCGCGTGAATGAGATGGTTGCTGGTGTTGTTGACAGGGTTGTCGACGGGTGACGATGCAGGTCTAGGAGAGTAGTTTAATTTTTAATTTTTAGCTATTATTGAATCCAAAATGCGCAATGGCGCTACTAGGGGTGGATTTTGGTGGTGCATTTGCCAATGCGCTGTTGGAGTCTTCCCATTGTTTAATGATTGGTGACTCCATGATATAGCCGGCGGTTAGTTTTTTTTTGTCCAATTCCTCTTCTAAGTTCTTGGTCGCTTTCTCTGCTAAGGCAGAGAGTTTCCTCTGCCACGGAGCCAACTCTTCAGGGGATTGGGGTACCTGCGGAGGGTATTCATCACAGAAGAACAACATCGTCTTGATTACCTTCTTCAATCGCCTGTACTGATGCCCAACGAGTTTCCTCTTCTCGGGCATTGACTTCTTCGGCCAGTCCGAACTCTGTTTCTCCAATTCCCAGCCTTTGAGACAGTTGTCAGTGAAATAACGGACGAACTGTTCATCAATAGAGAGATCGCTCCTCCAACGTTTCCTGCTATCAGAGAAGAACATGGTGTCAATGGGAGGCGGAGGGGCTGCTTTCTTCGTCTGTTTGTCAAACTTGATCTCGAGTATATTGGCTAGCCTGGACATGATGGCATTCTGGTCAACATTGGTTTTCTGGAGGCGTTGTATACTCTGTGTGAGCATTGCAACATCACCGCGTAGACGGTTGACATCATCTTCTAGGACCATCTTCTGTTGAAAGAGACTGTTGTATTGTGAGATAAGTCGGGAGTAATGCTCAAACAGGGAGCGAGGGTCGACTTTGATGTCGCGACGGTCGTTTGGTGATATGAACTCGGGTGGAATGGCCATGAAATTCTCCGTCAGGAAGCCTTGCCGAACCTCTTTGCACCAAGCGGTGAAGATCTCATGGTTGTCATTGGAGAATCTGATGGAGCGGTTAACGCTATTGATCAAGGGGTGCCTGGTGATATCATCATACCTGTTGTCCGGGTGTTGAGCAATGGCATACACAAAGTCGTCATAGAATCTCAACAGAGAAGCTGTCAATACATTCCGGAAACTGCTGGGCCACAGTTCATCGCGGTCTTCACCGAACAGGGATAGGACAAACCCGTCTACCAACTCAGGACTCGTTCGAATCGACTTTAAGGTTGGTGGTAACACATCGGAGGTTTCCGTCCATGCGCTCAAAGTTTTGCCGGCTTTGTTTGTCAAAGTCTTACTGGATAACACATAGTCAAAGAGAGAGTGTGTAGATCTTAACTCCCAGCCTGTTCGAAAGACCTGTGCAAGACCTGATGATTCTGATTCGGCCAGTAATTGGTTTGCACCTTTGCGACCGTGGTAACAGGTCAGCTTTTCATTGAGTGTTTCAAACAAGGACTTGAATTCCTTGTACAGATTGTTGAAGCAGAGCTGCCAGAAAGCTGCTACCCTGGACGCTGTCTTGTCATTCCTGTCGACAACAACGGCTCCTCGATTGAACTTGGGGAATAGATGGGGTCTGCCACAACCTCCTACCAACTGGGAGTAGATCAGGGAGAAATAAGGGTCTTGGTGGACGGAGTACTGGTGGTGGGGGTAGATGTTCAAATGTTGCAGTTCTCCTACCTTACCCTTACCCTTATCTCTCTGGAAAGAAACGCAAATCAAATAACGGTTGTGATGACGTTCAGTTGCAATGACGAGGCTCAGATCTGTTGGTTTCAGGATTGACACTTCACGACCTCTTCCGATCAAATGGTATGCTGACGTATTAAGATTGTGGAATTCTGGGGAATCCGACGTTCCCAACCAAAAGCATGCATTGGCCATTGCCAGCCTGTCGTCATTGGTTGAAGCGATCTTGGAAGTACTGATGCGGTTCCCGGTTTTGCGGGCTCTTTCTTCGAACTTGGAGAGGAGTAGATTGCGAAGCTTCCTCCATGACGGGTCCGTGAAAACAAGGATAGGCTGCTTATAGCGGAATTTGTTTTGAAAGTAGGCTTTGATTGCACTTGCACACCCAGTTGCACTATCGTAGGCAATTAGACCTTTCTTCTTATTCAGATACTTGTACGCATTGAAGGCGAGGTGGTTGAAGAAGCAGCCCATAAGATTGCTCCACCATTTCTGGTGATGTTCAGTTCATACCGGTTGAAGCCATGGATACCTTCCAATCCTTCATAGGGTAACTGGTCGGCACGGGTTATACCTTCATAACCTTTCGAATGGCAGTATCCGGTGAGGAAGTGGTTGAACTGCTTGATAGCTGCAGGGGTCTTGTTGCTCTGTAATTATCTCTTAGGTCAATGTAACTGTCGTTGGCAGCAAGATCCTCATCTTCCGCATTGGTGATTACGGTGAGGGTGAGGCTGTCGACGTCCATGGTCCACAAGTCGCAACAGAAGTGATCGGGGACGGGTTTGGAAATTGTGAGATTTTCGTACCGAATCCAGGGTGAGATTTTCATGCCGAATCCGGAATTCGGGTGTCACATTCCATGAATCTTTTCACTCACGGACGATCCTGCATTGGAACATGCTGGAACATCTTGCCAGATTGGCACGTGGATCTTTAGTTCTCAAGCCAGGCATGCTTTGGTACTTAGTGCGTTGGATTTTACTTAGAGGTCGTCGAAATACGATCACCTGAAGTCGTTCGATCACTTTTGCAAACTTTCCAGCTGCTGTTTTCTATCAGCAGTCACAGCCAGGCGAAGCCTGCTACTGTTGCGGCAGTCCTGATCACAAGTTGCCGCAGTGCAAGGTCAAGTCCAAAATCCCCAAGCCCGAGTGGGCAATCAACAAGTTCAATGGCATGAAGAAGTCCTTCATGCCACAGTACCATCAACATCAGATGCAACTGCTCCAAGGAGTGCCCACCACAGTGGTGACGGCGCCAGCTCCAGCTCCAGCCGGAGACACTTCGACCAGGAGTGGATTCAGTGGAATCCCTCCACCTCCTACGAGCCAGTCGAACTTCCAGCAGTTCCCATGTCGAGCTAAGCCTCACAGGCCAGCGCGCCAGGGTCAGTGCAGTTCCAATTCCAACATGCAGGAAACGATTTTTACTGGTTAACAGAAGATATAAAGTAAGTAGTTCGAATCCTGCATAGCAGCGCTTTTGCACCCGTAGCATCTTTTACTAGAAATTGTACTGTACGAATCTACCTGGAAGTGCAGTCATGAATTCTTATAACGTGTCCCTCTGTCAGGCTAGGACATAAGCTTTGGAGTCCTGCATATCAACGCTTTTACATAGGACAGTTTACTATATAAAATACTGTACATATCTACCAGATCACAATTTTGCCAATGCTGCATAGGCCTGTGAAAAGGAATTCCGTACCATTCAAGCAAACCACTGTGCGAATCTATAGTAAAATAGTAGGATTGTGCTTTGTCAATACGACATGGTGCTCTATCTCACTAGCTAGCTACTTTATTTTATTTTTTATGCAGGTTTCCACCGCTTTCTCTTTCTTTATCTCTAACCTTTTGCTTTCAATAAAATAAATTTATTACAAAATTTCATGCTCCTCAGTGGCTTCCCCTATGGTCGTTATTTGTATAGAGAGTCGCCTTGAAAGAATACCCCGGCTTGTCACCGTCCCCAAAGGCATCCTTGGGATGAACATGCATGACAATAATATAGCCCTTGTATTTGGTCTTATCATCCACTCCCCTTAGGCCAGCTGCTGAATAAACTTTGAACGGGGCTTCTGTGAGCCACCAATCTTTCACATGAACTGTGATATTTTCTGTCAACAGCAAACACAAGATGTCGAGGAAGTGAGAGAGCAAGAGCACATAAAACAAACATCTGGCGAGGACACTCACTCGAAAACAAGCTACCCGTTGCACCGGTGATAGACATGGCTGTCGTAGTTGGAATCGACTCCTCGATCCAATGAGTTGGGGTGTCAAATTGCTTCTGGCACTGGAAACGAAAAACTCTGCCAAACAATGAATTTGCTCTGTAGTTTCACTCTACAGAAGGGGCAGAGTGAACTCCCAGAGTTTTGGCTAAGTAATGAGTTCGAACAGGCCGCAGAATG